CACTAAAAAGTTTTAGCGATCCAAAATGAGCCTATGTTGTTGGGTGATTGTAGTCGTTAGGAAGAAATCGCTTTTCTCTGAAACCAATGGAACAATTGATTTCAAACTTATAGTAGCCTACTTAGTGATGGAAGAAGTCGTTAAAAGACTATTCCCTTTTTCAAAATCCTCCAATTTATAGTTCACTTTTTTAAGGCGTATGAGAATACTTCATTCCTTTAAGTTTTCTACGATTTTTTTGCAAAGAGCAATGACCCAATATTTGAACAATAAAGTTGCTCATGGGCACCGGTACTGCAAGGCCTTAGCTGAGCACCGTGTTTGGTGAAAAAATTCAGCGGACAAGCGTGACAGAATGAAGTGTTCCCGAATTTCATAAAAGGTGTGATCATTTATTAAAATGAAACTGCAAAATTTAGGTGGAAGGAACATCGAGTTCCTTAAGAATTAGATGTCTAAGTTATAGCCTTCTCGTGACGTTATCGATCTTTTATTTACTTTTATTTTGAAATTGATAATTGCTTAATTCAGATCCACATTATCGCCCTGTTTGAAATTTACACCAGAGATATAAAGCATGCGACACAAACACATTTGAAACGAACAGTCCACTTGACCATACCACCCACTAGTTTAAACACTTGGGGAGTAAATACAGACAAGTTAGAAAGTAACGCAATTCGTGCTGTTTTGAATTCGACGTTTAGGAAGTAAGATCTTTACCGAATGCATTTCTTCATTTCAACATTCAGTCCATCTGTAAACTTTAAATATGAAATTGGCCTTTAAAATAATGGAATCCAAATTGCACCTTGTTATTCGAAAACTCTGGTTTAGCCTTTTTATTTATATTGGCATTTTAATCATGGTTAATGATGTCATTGTTGTTTTTGATCACAACACATTTTGCCGTGTCCTCGGTCATTATGAAATTTTTGAATATCACATTGGTATGAAATATTACTTAAATGTATCAGAAAACAGTTGGATTATATTTCCGAGAAATTGAAATATGATATACCTAAATAACGTTATCGTTTCTGGACACATAGTTACTTTTACTTTTAAATTTCGGAATCAATATTTGGGGTAAAATAACGGATTCCAATAGAAGCAGAGAAATTTATATATATATTTTAAAAAAGACGTATATATAGGATATATCTAAAAGTTCCGTCTGGCTTTTAAAATAAATGCGCCTTTTCTTCGCCGGATGCCAGAAATCTAGCACCCAACTAACGGCTTACGTTAACGGGACCATATACTGTGGCATTGATATTATGTTTCTTTCTATATCTTAAGTTTCTTAACGGTTAATTTATCAGATGTGGTAACATTTAAACAATTGCGTTATTACTCGACCCAGCTTTCAACTGGCAATTTCATTTGAAAAAAATAAATGTTGGAAATTCCATGTTGTTATTAAATAGGCGCTCCCGTAGTATGTGCACCGAGATGGCGGACACCTGAACATACTGTCCGCCATCTTGATTCACATACTCCGGGAGTACCATTAAATGATGCTCTGTCATTTTTATTCATTGATTAGATTTCTGGAATCTTCCACAGAAAACGTCATAAAAATACGTAGACAGTTTTTTGTCGACATGGTATTTCTTTCTTTGAAAATCAAAATACCCCCGTTACGTGCGTAGTGCTACCTTCGGAAAACATTTTCATCTGTTCAAAATAAAATAAGACTCTGTCAGTATATTTTATTGTGGACGGAATACTGCACAATCCAAATGTGTTTCTTTTCATTGAATTGTAAATTAAATTTTCCGGGGACATTCTACCACTCTTGCTCGTTTTCAAGTATTGGAAATTTTTGTTCGTCTGTATAGTACTTATTAATAGAAGCCCGCATAACTCAATATGAAGACAGCCGATTTTTCAGTAATTTACAAGAAAGAGATGCTCAAATATTTGGGCACGACCAAAGCGAAGTAGTACGGGTATGCAATCTGTCACAGTAGACTACCGGTACGGCAGTTTTATCGACTTGGCCTGACCACTAACGCGAACGCGGATCCGCCACAAGGTGCGCAATTTTTAATTTTGATGATACTTTCGCACACTAGATACCACAAAAAATTAGGAAATAAATAAAATAGCCTTTTAGCGACAGAAAACTTTAAAGCACTTGGTCCGGTAGTTATTAACAAAACGATCCATACATATCGTGTCTGGAAACTAAAAAATAAAGCAGTTGAAGCGATATGTGTGAGGCCTAAGCTTAAATATACCACGCAAATTTAAGTGAAAATCATTCAGAACTATAAATCAGGATGTTATGGCCATAATTAACAACCAAACATAATTAAATATTTACCTGAGTAAATGAATATCGTCTCAAAAACTGCAAAATTTTATTACGAGTATTTTGATCCAAATCGTGTCAGGGAAAATTCTGAAAAAGTTCATTGTGTTGGTAACACTTGTTGGGTAGTTTCAGAACTATTCAAATTTTGCTATACAAAGTGGCAAATTCAGTTCATTTCAGTGCATTTACTAGAAACTGAAACTAAGCAATTTCCTGGAAATTTTCATAAAAAAAATTACACAGGAATATACAATAAAAATTTTCATCTGTGCGTTTTTGAAAATTCCGAAAACGAATAGGAAGTTTCAGTTCGATGTGGTATTTTTGCTATGTTTCATTTGATAATGCAAAGTATGCAAAAACATACTTCAACCCTCTTGGAGCTTGCGTTGTGGGAATGCAAAAAATAGTACTATTTGACTACATTGAGAAATTATGTTCCAATTCGCAAATTTCTTTCACGTATCAATATTTACCTATAGTCCAGGCTTCCATACCCTTCTTATTTGTAAAAAGTTTCATTATTTTTGAGCTACGTCTATTATTACTGCAAAAAAACATTTACCTCTGCTAGTCATAGCTGCATTACTTGACAAAGATCATCCATCGAAACTGTTAGAATGTATTACTTAAGGTGCTGCTCCGGGGCCAAGTATTTTCGTTTACACGATAAGATTGTGAATTTTGAAAAGCGATTTCCAATGATCTGTCTTGATCGACCATTTCATCCATTGTCTGTTTTTATTCTCCCGTAGTCGTTGGCGTATCCATTCGTCGTTACGTTCTGAAAGTTACAGTTTTTGTTCAATTACGTCAATGCTCTCAAATATTCAGTAACTGATTCATAAACTTGTTGAGGTCGCTTGCGTAACACATGACGCGTATATATTTCATTCTCTGGCAAAAATACCTTTCTACGCATCTACAGCTTCATTGAAGTTGTGATATTTCTAAGATATCTAGAAGTCTTCGGAGACAAATAGTTTATCATTACTCGCAATTTATCCAGTCCTACAGTGGGTAAAGATTTTTAAACATTTTTCGCCAATGAAGCCATTTGTCATCCGCGCTAGAGGTATCTGCATCTTGTTTCTCGAGCTTCAAGACTTTTCCCATTGTGTTTAGTTCATGCATCAAGCTTTATTGAACATGAACAGTACAATAATTCGTAATCAGTAAAGTATGCAGTACGACAGAACTAGGGTAATCAGGCGTACATTGCGCACCCAATAACTACACGGTAATAATTACACCACAATACCTCCTGAACCGCCAATATCTCCGGCAAGTTAAATTGAATCTGGGCTTGAGTCGCAAAAAAAAATGATTAGGAATTGTTCAAAATTGATTTGAACAATGAGAAATTGTATACCGATAAATAAACCGTTATAGATTATAACTGATTGAAACCCTGCCTATAGTTATCGAATATAAGCTGGGAATTTTTGGACTATTGACTGGTTGATGTAAACAAATTAGCCTACATGTTTACACTCAAATGTAATCTGCACATACTTTTGAGGAAGAAAACAATATCACCGTTGAAAAAGAAGGCGTTGGTATGAATCACAAATTAGCTCACACGTTACACTCGAAAACTAAATCTTTGGATAAGCCAAAGATCGATCACTGTTGAGGACGAGGGCATTCCACTCCAACTCAATATTTATACTTTTAAAGAATGAACAGATATTACTGTTGAAGATCAAGACATTCCACTCAAGTCAAATCTGCATACTTTGAACAAACCAAACAAAGATTACCGTTGAGGATGAAGGTGTTCCACTCAAACTAAATTTACATACTTTGAATAAACCTAACGAAGATTACTGTTTAGAATGATGCATTCCATTTAAACTAAATATTCATACTTTTAAAGAATCAACAGAGATTACTGTTGAGGATGAAGGAATTCCACTCAAACTAAATTTACATACTTTGAATAAACCTAACGAAGATTACTATTGAGAATGAAGTATTCCATTTAAACTAAATATTCATACTTTTAAAGAATCAACAGAGAATACTGTTAAGGATGAAGGAATTCCACTCAAACTAAATCTGCATACTTTAAAAAAATCACACATAGATCCCTGTTGATGATGCTATTCCACCCAAACTTAATATGCATACTTTGAATCAACCCAATGGAGATCACTGTTGAGTATGAATCCAATCCACTCAGAACTAAATCTGCATACTTTGAATAAACCAAACAAAGATCAATGTTGAGGATGAAGTCATTCCACTCAAATTTAATCTGCATACTTCGAACAAAGCAAATAGAGATCACTGTTGAGGGTCCACTCAAACTGAATCTAGCAACTTTGAATAAACCAGCAGAGATCACTGTTGAGGATGAAGAAATTTCACTCAAACTAAATCTTCAGACTTTGAATGAATCAACAGAGATCACTGTTGAGGATGAAGGAATTCCACTCAAACTAAATCTTCATACTTTGAATAAACCAACAGAGATCACTGTTGAGGATGAAGGAATTCCACTCAAACTAAATCTTCAGACTTTGAATAAATCAGCAGAGATCACTGTTGAGGATTAAGAAATTCCACTCAAACTTAATCTACATACTTTGAATGAACCAAACAGAGATTACTGTTGAAAATAAAGGAATTCCACTCAAACTAAATCTGCATACTTTGAACAAACAAAACCAAATTCACTGTTGAGGACGAAGGCATTTTATTGCTAATCAGAAATAGTCGAATCCGATAAAAATCAGTGAAATAAACTTTTACGAAGAAATTGAAATTAAGTAAAAATAAAAAATAAAACAAGTAAAAAATTATTGAAACAAAAAATATAATGACAATAATATTATTAATAACATTTAATAAATTTGCTTGAAATCATTTTTTTCTTTATAAATCAGCAGCATCTGAACGTTGACGTAAAATTTGGTGATAAAATAGAGTTATGGCTGCTCAAAAAGGGCGTCGAGGGTTTTCCAAAGTGAACATGAAGCATTTTTAAAAACACTCGTCAAATTTTAATCGGTCCAAGTTCGGGTTGCTATTGATCATGGAAGAAGAGCATTTCAAAAACATTTGAATTTATTTATGGCCAAGTTTTTTGTTATAGATCTGCCTTGTGATTTATTAGCCATCAGTTTGAAGGGGAACAAGTTAGTCTAATGAAAATGAAAAAAGCGAAAAAAACAACAACAACTAGAAACTCATTCGGAACAACCGGGAAACAAAGAATTAAAGCAAATATACTATGACACAAACCAATGGATTTGCTTGAATTTTAGCCATTTGAAAGACAGATCAAGCCATATTTTGTTGACATTCTGGGTATCCAAAGCTGGATAAATTGGATAAAGCAATTTCATAAATAAAGCAGCCTGCCAGATTAGCTTGAAATAATAATTTCGCTCAGTTTTAGATGAAATTAAATATTATGCACGATGTACACAGTGTGACATTATAGTATAGTATTTCATCTCGCGAAACATCTGGGCAATTGATGAAATTTTTTTTTATGAATATAGATAAACAAAATGAGAAGGAATAATAAATAATCCATTGCACATTGAAATCATTTGTTCACAAATTGACAGAATTTTGAATCTGTCAATCACAAGTGTTTGTTTGTTACGACATAATTTCGCGACATATTTCTCTCGAATATATAAGTTTTGCCTTTCTCTCTAATTTTCTCTCGCATACTCCGTCGCCATTTCTGTTCATTCGTCAACTCCTCTCAGCCACGACTCGCTTTGTCGACTTTTTGGGCGGAATGCTCCAGTATTATGACGTCATTATGATGACGTTACCTCTCAACGTTTTGTTTCAACTCTGCCGGACAGCTGATTTAGTTGTTTCTGGTCTGTCATGACGCCAAAGTTTCTTGTATACTGTCGCGTTTCGTCGAATGTTTTTGAAGTGATGATATTATTGGTCATTTCGAAGGGTTTGGAGCACGCTTGTACAACACCACGAATGCTGTTACTCATCATATGCTGAAACAAAAGAAACACAAATAATTAGTTAACGAAAGATTCGGTTTAAACGAAGTAGAAAACGAGCCACTCTGAGATGAAGATTTCAAGACAGCATGTATTAGTTAGGAATATATTGTTTGAAAAATTTACCATTTTTTCGAAGTTGATGAGTCCATTTCTGGTACTGTCGTTTCCTTCGTGTTGGAACGTCATATCTTTCATAAGAAGCGGTAGGTACGGAATTAATGGTGGCCGCAAGCCGGCGACGTGGAGTCGGTACGCACGATGATTTCTTGAGGGATCCTACGTTGAAATAATGTAGTTTTAAAAAAGAGAAAAATTCTCAAATATATGGACATGAAAGTACCACTGTCAAGTGGGCATAAGACCACTAGCGAGCGGACAAAGATAAAAAATCGGCAACCAAGTATCGAAGCGGAAAAACGTCCCCGAGTATCCAAATTTGACAACATGATACGATACCGATTGATAAAACACGTCATCTTTGAGGGCCAATATTTAGAAGTCGATTTGACATAGCACAACAACTCAACATAAAAATATTATCTCGTATCCAAAAATTGATATCATATTAGTAACATATGTATTATGAATATAATACCAATGTAAAACTGACCATAATTCATTGTAATCAATGCAATACAGACAACTTATACTATACGATTTTCCCAATGTGAAAAACATGAAAAATAACATTTTCAAAGTTTTGGTTTCATTTCACAATAACGTTTTGAAACTGCTTGCATAAAATTTACCAACTCAATAAATATATTTACCAATATAGCTTCAAATTCAGTCATCATTTTTTTGTATTTCGTTGGTAGTTTATCCCAAGTTCCGTGCAAACGACTCAAAGCTTGATTTCCAAGGCCGATCATTACCGCCATGAATCCATTCATATTTTGAAGTTCTTTGAGGCTAAAAATACAAATAGAATTACATGAGGTGCCAATTTTATTGATTATTGACTATGTTTTTGCCAAGTTGGATCGGTCTACACGCCAACAGAATAAAATAAGGCTGGGAAGGGGAATAGGCAAGTTTAACGCTGTCCGAAGTACGAAGGCCAACGCGGCTATTATTAGTACGTTTTCCAATTCCCCGTGTTTTGTATGTAATGATTTCTACGAAAAATTGCACAAACCGTCCATTTTTGACAAAATTTACAAAAAGTATTCCTTATTGTGAACTTCACATCATTATGCTGATTCGGATTGTAAAAGATTTTGACTCCAACTTCAGCTCCAGGAAAATCAAGTTTTAACAACAAAAACTTTTGGGGTATGGCAGGCCTTCTCTAAATAACTGTACAGCACGCTTTTGTGGAAAATTGAATTATATATAAATAACTACTTACTGTTGGGCAATCTTGATGAATTTTCTTAGCAAGTGGACTCGTTTGTTCAAATTATTGCAAGCACATATCTCAGTAGGTGCCCAATATGCCAATTGATTGAATCTTCGTGCAAACACATCAATATTTGAAGTCACACTGTGGAACTTGTGAGAACCGAAAACTTTGTGAACGAATTCCATCTGAAATGTGAAATATTGTTTAAAAAAATGAATTTTAGCTTGATCTTAATCACTAAAACAGAAAATATGCTTACGTTATTCCAAATTGAAATATTTTAGCATTTTTTCGGAATATTGTTAATGTTGAATCATATAGTACATGAATTAATTAAACTCACCACGTGAATACTGTTTATAAGTTCCCAGTCAAGTTGTGTGATGTGCTCAGCAATTTCTTGAGATCCCACAAGTTCTAAAACAGTGCTATTGTTGGATGGTACCACTTGTTGTTCGGCTAATGGTTCCTGAAAGCAGAATGGAAAAATATAAATGATTGCCTCACTGGTAGGTATGGTGAGTATATTAATTTAACCCCAGGAAGTATTATACTATTATATATAAAAAAAAGGTTGATATTTTTTACAATGTCGCCTCGGACAAGGCACCGTAAATGCAGAAAGGTTCTGAGATTTGTAAATTTCTCGTATTTGAAAATTGTAATATGCTTTATCAATAAGTGAAGTTGTATACGTACTATATCGTCTTTTTCGTCGGCTGAGCAGACAAAAAGTCTGCCATTGACGCCCACTGTCGTTGCAGCTGACGTCATTTTTTTGGGTAGGACATACATATCCCCATCAGATTGCACTTGGATAAGAAGGAGATTCTCCGATTCTCGACCTTGCTTTTCCGCAACCGCACTGACAATTTCGTTCACCTGGAGATGCAAGAAAGTATGACGTCATAATCTAGTCGAAAATGACAATAAAATTTCAAGTTTCATATTAAAAAATCCTTACCGTCGATATGACTGGTAGTCGTACAGTGGTGTATGTTCGGTTTGCGTTGTACACTTTAAGCATAACATCGTCGCTTGCTTTAACAGCTTGGTGCGGCTTGCGTGCTGTTTCTGACTGAGGGTACCTATGTATTGTTGTGGACTCCACTGTGATCCATCCACGATGTGTTGGACTATCAACAGGACTGTAAAAATAGAAAAATCGTTTTAATTTTGGGATATTTATTGTTGTGGCGTACAATGAAAGAAGTCTGATCAGTTAATATTAACTTACACTGACTCAATTTCATAAATTCGAGCGAAATCTTCCTTCAGGTTTGGATAAATTTTGCTATCATCTGTCACCGCTTGTTTCAATTCCTGTACGAAAATCACGAAAGTTAGCAAAAATAGTTATAACGCATTTTAGAAAACATTAATAATTGACAAATTATTGATAACAAACCTTCAGAAACGGTCCCACAGCTGGCTGGTCGTAGAAAATATGCGTTGCGATATGGCTCCATCTAACGACGAAATAAACCACTTTTCGTTTTATGGATTTTGTGGCATCGATTTGTTCTGATGTTTCTGATTGGTAAATGTTCATCAATTGCTTGCAGAGTTCTTGTGTTGACATAAAAACCTGGTACATCAATATAACGTCTTCCATTGCTTCGTCGCTTTGTCGGGCTGTTCCCCATGGACGTAACGACTTCACGACATGTTCGACGATTTTTGAAGATGTTCCTATGCGAAAACGTTTAAAAAATGTTTAATTAAATCAAAAAATAATTCAAATGTTTGATATTTAAACTATTTTTAAAATAATACATAACTAAATAAAAAGAAATTGGACTAAAAATCCTTACCTGCTGAAATAGCATATCGGTGATTATGTCTCGTTGGTGTGGCTGCTACCGGTATTCTATTATTAGGCTTTGTGTTGTTATTAATATATTTCTCTCTGCCGTTTTGTGAAGAAGATCTTGCGTGTATTTTTTGAAGAATTAGAACGTCTTTTTCGTGTTCTTTGAGTCGCACAGTGTTCGCTTCCACGTCCTAAAATCGAAATAAACATATACAATGAAGAGGATAATTTAAGAACTTCCAGATGTTCCCGTATTCATATGGCTATTAGCAATTAGGTCACTAATTAGCCTTTCCCTGAGTGTAGCTAATTTCGATATCCCATTACACATCGCCACTTTAGGTCATGTGACGTTATTTCCACCCATGGGAGTACCGTATCCGTAATCAAGATCGGATAGTATAGTAAACAATGCTTTGTTTTGCCAACTGTTGATTGGGGGACTTAGTCGTCAAATGCTTGTGGGATTATTCTATTATAGAACAAAGTACACTTGAAAAAATGTGACATTTAACTGATATTTTGCGGTGTTTGAATCAACTGACTTATTCAAAATTAACGTTCCAATACCAATCAGATTGCATTTGTCATCTTAGCCATCAATATGCAAACATCGCCAAATTAAAAATTTTGACCCCAGTTCAACTAAGTTGACCCCAGTTTGACTAAGCTGGCATATGGTATTGAAAGATGGTATACTTTGATTAGGAAATAGGCTGATTAAAAAATTGGGATATGTCGATACTGTGATATGTCGATATGTGATGTTGAATGTTTGCTGAATCGTGTAGACCAAAATCTTGTACAAATGGTCATATAAAAGCTCGGTTAATTATAAAGGGTAATTTTCAAAGTTTGCTTTAGGTTTAGCAACAGTTTTTAACGACGGAAACAATAGATTTTCGGTTGATAACAAACATTGTAAATCTTCCTAATGTTAAATACAATTTAATAGTATTTGTTCAAGGCGCTTCCATGGTATACAAACAGCAAATATAGTTGAAATGGTTACCCGATGTGTTTGTTGTGGTTTTTGGACATTTTTCTTGATTTCATGGAAAGATTATTTGGGAATATATATACATATTACTGATCATGTTTGAGTCATGCTTGGTAATGAAATTTCTTTGATTGAATATAAATGATCATGTACCTTTAAAATCCGAACAAAATCGTGTTTGTCTACTCGCAAGAGCTGACAATTGTCTTCTGCTAGAACTATGGTAGCTGCTCTGGGTGCGTCATTGATGATCGCTAGATTTCCGAAGTCATCTCCTTCGTGTAGAGTACACACCACACCCTGCAAATAACAATAGGATCCATATTTAGTATTTAGTTGAATGTTGATATAGAATTCTGCGCAAATATTGAAGTATTATTCCAAAATGAGTGAAATTTGACGGAGAAACAACAAAAAAATCGTTTGACTTGGTAACGCAAATACCATCAAGCGCGCATGTGCGACGCAGGCAGTAACAATCTATCGACATAACAAATAATAACAATATTGAACTCTACCAAGCATTTTTCGTACATAAATCCATGCCACTAAACATTAGATAAAAAAGTTATTACAAGAACTTAGGCGCCATGTATGTCAACAAAATAACATTTGCTCTAAAGGGTCAGCAATAACTATTTTGATATGTTTATATAAAATTCGATATTACAATGGGTAAGTGACGTCGCACGTTCAAGACAATAGATATGGGGTTACTATTGTAGCTATTTGAGCGCGGCATATTGTGATGTTATAAAGTAGTCGTGCGCTTAAGTGGGGGGAAATTGGGATCTGTTTATTGTGAGTTACTAAATCTGGGTCTCTTATCGCAGTGAAATGACTACATACAGGATATGTTTTATAACTTATCTGTGTATTTACATACGTCAGACTTATTGACTAAGCCAAATTGCTGCTATGTTGAAACGATTTGCAAAAAAGGCGATTTTTGTTAAGTGGAATCACTTACTAAATATTCCCGCCAAATTTGCAAAAAGTTCTTTTGAAAGTTACTCGCCGTCTCCCTGATCTCTAAATCGGGCCAAAAGGAGTGAGTCGACCCAATTTGGTATTAATCATCAATAACTGCATGGGAAAATGGATAAAGCAGCTGTTTTTGTGAATGAAACTTTTTAATGGCCACTAAAATGTTATTTACGAGTTAAAATCCTGACACGGGAAAATTGGCGAGATTCGGAAACTACCAGACTTCTGAAGGAGCGAAGCTAACCCGCTGTGGACGCAACAGGGTTTGGTGTTAATATCAAAGTTCTGAAACCGACGGTAAGGAAAAGTAACGGGTTTAAATTTCATCCCTGGTGGTTTGGCACTATGGGAGTTCTTTTACTACTTTTCTGCTTCGACATAAACCTAAATAATTTGACGTAAATCGCACAAATATGATTTTCTATACGCAGCTTGAGTTTAGATTTCAACATCAAAGATTTTGATTATTGTGTGGAAATATACAGTGAAGAAGACGCCGACCTTATAATAGTGACGTCACATTAAATGGGCCGGCGGGAGGGGTGTTTCCATTACCGAACACCTAATCGCAATCTTTACTGATATTAAGCAACTTTTAAGAGCTCTTAAATACTTAGGAATATCGTATAACATAGATAATTAACCACGTTTGTCCAGTTGTAAAGTATCACTTCGATAGCGCGATTAAACATACTAGCCAAGTTAGGGCGGTAGAAGATGGAATTTAAAAAATTTACCGCGGCAAAAATGAATCATGACATCGAAGTGCATGAAATCACAAATGCGTTGTCAACAACGGCGTCGTGGGACCGGACATAAAAGCGTAAATTGCCAAAAAGTCGATAAACCTTAAATGCCGGTAGCGTGGCATTTGACATAAATTAACAAAAAATATCTAAGAATTAGGGAAGCGTAAAAAACTACGAAGGTCAAATTCCTAATGAAGGTGGATTTAACATGGAAGAATTATTCATTCAAAATTGCGTAATAGGATTGACATTCAAGTTGACTTGAAATAATCTTGCGACACTTATCAAACTGATTCTGAACAAAGTCCAGCGTTATCGCAAATCGACAAAATCATACACACTGGGATGCCTTTCAAAAATCCTCCAAGACTCGTGCGTAACATTACTAATAATTTCATTAATCCGGTTTAAGATAACGGTATGCATACCATATTATCACAGTATGCAGTCATATCCATAAAATTTCCCTTTTTGTTATCAGGGATTAAAGCGGCTTAACTAGGACTAACGTACGAGATTATAAATCAGCTTATATCAGACTTAAGATAAAGTACATAGGTTTACAGGTGAAAGGCAAATAACATTATCGGAGTGTTACAAAAATACAATTTCGTTATCTGCAAAGATTAATCCAGGTTTTCGCATGTAATATCATTGACCAAGGGATGGAAAACGCAAAATAAGAGTCAAATTATTCATACGAATTGTCAAACTTAATAAGATATCAACAGACTGGACAGTGAATGCAAAACCGTGTGGGAATTGTGTCATAGGACCATTTAAAATTGGATAAGCCAATTTTGAATTTTAATTAGGCAAATTTATAAACCAAACTGCCTAATTCACGCGGTTAGGCTACAGCCATATTGTCGCCATTGCTGAAGTTTGTTTAACTCGTTTTGCATTGTGGTCGAGAAATGTTAATGTAAATTTTCACGATGCATGCAAAGAGTTAACTTGAGTCGTAGCCGCAATTGAAAATCTGAATCTACATGTTTAATGAACTAATGGCCTTCGCCAAGTTTGGCTGTCACATTCATGAAATAAATGGCAATATAACATTCCCGCATTACTGATTCTCAGTTCCAGTGAATCAGTCATCCCAGAAAACAAGCTACGCCGAGTCCATTGACAGATTGACAACTCCAAGATTATTCAAATTGGAACATGTCAGTTTGTTAAAAATTGGCGTCCCGTCTCCAAAAATTTCAATATTGAATAATCAAAATAGAATATCGAATTTATTCAGTAATTTTTAGTAGAAAAATCGCCCTTTTATTGAAAATCGAATGTTGACATCTCCATAATGCAGTAATGAATGTACTACACACCTGATTTACTTGTCGGAATCGTTTTGGGTGACATTCACCAACAAGGCTATTTCCTCTGTGCAAGCCCGAGTTCCTTTTCGGCAAAGATTTCGACCGACGGACTCTGGCGTCCTTGTCGCGGTGTCGTGGCACCGGACTGTCGAAAGTGGATATAACCATATTTCCAAAAAAGTATCTATCCCAGCTAAATAGCTTTAAACTTTTCTTTCTGTCACGTAAATCCAATCTCGCAAGTTCGTTAGCAGTGAAAGTACTGTCCGATATATCACTTCGCTTAATTTTAACACTTCTGGCAAAACGCGGTGAATCCGCTTGCTGCTTATTCGAATCCCACAACATAATGTCGACAAATTTATTACGATGTTTAATTTTACTATCTTGGAAATAAGAGAGAGAAAAAATGATTTATCAACTTCTCTCGTCTTACGAGCGACTGTGACGTAAGAATCGTCAGTGTCGCCGCCTTATCGTTCGTATCTTCTGCTGTCATGAAAGTTTCCAGCAGCGCGGAGCTGTTTTTATTTCAAGATATACAACTGATAGACAAATTATATCATATCAGCGGGCGGCCTGATGCTGTTTATCAATATTTTTACAAGACTCGCGACAAATCAAACGTTTATTCATATAAATTATAAACTAAATATGCATACTCCCCAGGATACGCGCCAGCTTTTGAATTTTGATTTATGATAGGCTATATTATAACTATCAAACAATATTTATTTCGGTCTAGTCGGGTTTTAATTTTTGCACAGTTTGAACATCTTTGAAACAACATTTTTTGATTGCGCATTTACTTATTTAAACATAAATCAATGTATGCCCAATACGAATGTCATATAAAGACCTAAAATTGACTACATTGGCAACTACAAACCTTTATAAATGATATACAAAAATAAATTCTCCTAGACACATATAGAAAAGTACTTCAAGTCCCTTGAGGAGATATGCACCATTCGAAGACAGAGCGTGCAAATTGATTCAAGCTAAATCAAATCGCGACATATGTTTTGCTGCGTCGCCAAAAGCCTGATTAAAGCGTCCCTCAGCAATAAGCATTCTGTTTATCGATCGATTTATGCCTAAATGCATAAACCTATCCAAAACATGAAAATATAAAAACGAAAAAAATACATCGAGGAAAATTGTCTAGACTGTGATGCGATTGAAAATATTAGTAGTTTCAAAACATTATTCATGTTTTTATTATGGATGTCTCGTTAAAAACAAGAGTCATAGAAAGTAAGGATATACCCGATTTTAATGAATATGGAAATAAGGATGCATCACTAAATATTCGTTAAATTGAAGCGTTTACGGTATTTTTTGATGTCAACATCTCTAATGAGATATTTTTTACTTCAATCATACCGCTTTTGCAATACAAATTGGCATTTTGCTTTGTTGCAAATAAAGTGAACAACAACAAAGTAAAGTAAGAACAAGCAAATATTAAAGTCCATTTGCTATCATATCAAAAATTGCATTTTAAGATAAAGATAAGTGTAATCAACAAAGTACCTGACCGATATGTATTTGATTTCAAAGCTCCCGTATAACCTTTGAACGCGCGCACTTTCAAAAGTAAGTAAACAAAGTGGAGTAGATTTCAAAACACGCATCAAAAATCCCTACGGACCCGGAATCGCAACAGTCACAATTGATTTTTTAAAGTCCCAATTGGGGTTAGATCATCAATGATTAGGCATAAATGCTGTTATCACTTGCTTATAAGCATATTATGATGCATTTACGTTATACGCTTACCTAAATGTAACTAAAGGTACAAAAAACAATTCGAAAACCGATAATGTCTACAGCACAGACTAAGTTAATTAATAATGGTTATTACAAGAATTAAGCAATCGATGTAATTCGCTGAAAATCGTGGCTTCGTGAAGAAAATTAACTAAAAATCGTGATCCGGCGGCGTAAAAGCTGGTGGCAGGTGCCGGTGACGGCTTAATTGCGACCACAAAACCACGCACTTAAGGCACACCACAACGTGTAATAGTTAAGAAGGTTAACAAACCTAACTGCATACAATAAGTAAATTAGAATGAAGTTCTACTAAAACGCAGAAGATCGCTGAAATACTACGAAAAATAACGTAAAATCATTATTCAAGGGATTTTATTACCCCTTTGCCTAAACGAGACAACATGCAAGCAAATGAAACTGTTTGTTTATTTAAATAATCAAATTTCATTTTTAATAAAATAATGCT